ACACAACTCCCCTCACATTTTGTTTACTTGTTTGCGCGCGTTAAACATTCTGGGATGCATCAAGTGCAGCAGCCAAGGACATGAGATCTTGACTTACAGACAGGTGTAAATTATGTAGAGTGAAAAGAAATGCCAGCACAAAACCCGAGAATGAAAAAACAAAAGCCAAAACATCACAGATGCAGAGTTTGCTCAACGCTAGCTGCAGACAGTTGCGTTCTTATTATTATGATTATGGCAAAGTACTCATGGCAAAACACACGGGAACGAGGGCGGATGCTCTTCTACACTGTTAGAAAAAAACGATTTATTGCATTACAAACAAGCAAACTTCCATAACTCAAACTTTCTTAACTCGAAGTCTTCATAAATCAAATGCAGGTTTGAGTTTTGGAAATTCTCAGGCGTTTATTAAATTATATATTATTTATTTAAATAATAAACAGAAAGGTCGCCAACAAACAAAGTTACAAAATTATGAATTTTCCGTGAAATATGTCTTTCAATATACAAACTAAAATGAAGCATAACTTTATCATGTTATGTATTTATAAGTTAAGTTGTTAAGTTAAATAATTACTTTTCAGTGCAGTTCTTCATTTTGCCTTCTGTCTGAGTGTTTGTTGATATGCGCAGCGATTTAATTATAAACACACAACACGTGCTAGTCCATAATGTTCCGGAGAGGTGTGCAAACCAAAAATAACACTCGTTTACTTCTTTACAAAGTTACTCACACTCCAATACGCTGAGCTTGAACTTCGCAGTCCACTGAGCTGTGCGTAACTCGCATCTTTTAAATATCGGAGTTTTAGGTCGAATCGAAGGCGGGGTTGGCTATATTTAATTATATTTAATGTATGCCAATATGGTATAATCGGTTATACACGCAACAACAACAGATGGAGGTATGTCATTATCTAATTATGTTTTGTGTTGTTTGACCAAAGAATTGGGGAAGGCAAGGTATAATTCTGGTATATACTTAATAACAACACTAAATTGAAACCAAAATTTATGTTAGGTAATTTATAGCTCTACTACAAAACGTCATGTTTTTATGCTAAAGAAAACACTACAATATTTATATTAACTTAAAAATGTTTTGCAGCACATAATTTTATATCAATCCAAAGGCAGTGTTTTATTCTACGTTATTCAGTAGCTCAAATGAAATACAACTGATAAGCATGCAGACTTTTAATTGGAATTTACTATTAAGTACTAAAACATTTGCTGTTGATATGTGTTAGTTTTAAGATAAGACGAACGAATAGTTTCGCGTGTATTTATAAACTAAAGCTTTTTTAAGATAATTTTTATAAGCAATTGGACTTATAAAACAAATGTTGTGTTTATTTTTTTAATTAACCCTTGATTTTGCTGCTGTTGACCACCGTCAACTTGTACAGATCGTTTGGAAATATAATATTTACAGTATTATTAGCCACTTAAAAAGTGTTTGAAAATCGCCAAAAGACCTCAATTGAAATAATCAACGCCATTTGCTGATTGTTGTTCGAGTACAAAATGAACTCTTCACATCATGCAATGACCGCTCGTTAGCTCCAGTTTCCCGGTGCCGTGTCGTGTGTGTGTTTTCCTTTATTTTATTTTTGTAGATCATAAAGCATCGATAAAAATCACAGCGGCGGTCAATGCACGCAGCTTTGAACGTCGTTATTGTTGCATGTGCCGCAGAAATAAAGACGCCGACTTTTCCTCGATGAAAACTGGCCGGCCACAAAGCCTCACAGTTCAGTGATTGTAACAAAACAAATGCAGGCGTAGTTTTTTTTTAGAGGCCAGTAAAGAACTAAGCCCCACAAAAATTACACGTCAAAATAAAAAGTGGGGAAATATTAATAAAAGCTACGAGAGTAAAACCTGGTCAATTTGTAATATTGAGAGACATATATAAGATGTTATAAAAACAAAATTCAACAAAATAGGAATTGATAACCATCTCTATTTTTTTTTATAAAAAAAATCTAAAATTACACATAACAAACAGATATTCTTTGTTTTAGTATGACAACCCTATTAATATATCAATTGTAGATAAACTTAAATTAAATATAAATTTTACTGGTAAATAAGAATTTATTTCAAAAAAAAAAATAAAATAACACATACGATTTTTTGTAGGTTAACTAAAATAAAACACGAATTTCACTAGGTTAGGCTTAAGGCTAGGCTAGGTTAAGTTAAGTAAGAATTTCACAAGATCCCAGATTTTTCGAGTGTACAAATCGTTAACAGTTCGCATGCCAAACTCACATTTAGTCCAGTTTCGAGTCGAATGTATTGACTGACGTTTTTCCTGCGAACATTTTCAGGGTGCCGGCAAGGAAATACGAGAAGCCATCGCCGATCCCTCGCCGGAGGTGACGGGAAAAGCCTGGGCGGCGGTGCTGCCGTTGGTCAACAAGCTGAAGCGCTGCTACGAGCACTCCATGGAGCTGGACAAGATTGTGCCCAAACTGCTGGGCCAGCTGGTGGGCGGCAAGCTAAATCCGACACAGCATCTGGAGACCCAGCAGGCGCTGGTCAAGCAGCTGGCCGAGATCTTGGAGTTCGTGCTGAAGTTCGATGAGTACAAGGTGAGTGAGTTGCTTTGACAGCTGGGTGTTACAAGCTCTAGTCCATATTTGGAGGTACAACGCCCACCACGTTTAACCCATTAATTACTGATAGGGAAATAACCATACACTGTCATCAATAAATTAAAATATTGAAATTAGAAAAAAAAACAAATATGTAAAGGCGTACAATACATCATAAAAATTAAGTTAATTTTGACTTGATATGTTATGTAGTATGATGATTTAACCTGGTTTGAAACTTTATTTTTTCATTTTATAAATTTTTATTTTAAAATGTAGAAATGTTGATACTTTCAACCATCTCAAAAGAAAAGGAAAATAATTTAAATATAACTTATGATAAAATGACATCCAACGTTAAATATTTTCTAAGAAAACTTGTAACTTGTGTACATCTTTACATATCAAAAACGAGGTGCATACTTAGTTATATTTAAACACAACCAGATTTATTTGATTTTAGCACCGTCTGTTTGTTTATTGGTTAGTGGGTTAAATTCTGTCTTCTTCACTGCCTGTTTGTCTGTGTTTGTTTACCTTATGTGGGCGCTGTCGACAGTCAAGCTAACGCAAAGCAATAGCTAAAAGCCAAGTTAAATGAAGCCAGACCAAGTCCCACTGCCAACTCATTGTGCGCGTGGTTGCACTTTTAATTGACTGACTTTTTTGCTTGCCGTCTGCCTGCCTGGCTGACGATTGGACTGACTTGACTTGACTTGACTTGACTTGACTGCCTGGCCAAAACGAGCGCGTGCTGCGGCCCATTGATGAAAAATCTTCCAGGCTATCCGTGCATTCGTTCGAGCCACAGTGGAGCATCGGAGCCACTTACGCACACGCAACCAAATGGCCCACGACAGACGACCGATGGCCGGATGAAGTTGTAAAATGAATAAAGTCGCTCCGGTGGGCTGACAGTGGTGGTGAATTCAATAGCATAGATCTGAGGTAATTAGGAAAAATGTAGTTGAACAAAAAAAAATACATTACCAAAAAAGAAAAACAATTTTTGAAAGATAGTAAAATATAAAATAAAAGATAGATAAATATAAATATAAGTCCACTACTGAGGTTAAAGTTGTTCTCTTAAATTAGTATTTGAACCGCTCAAAAAATTGTTTGCCACCGTTAAATATGCAATTCTTTTTACTTTCTTTACTCTTAAAATTATTTTGCTATGAACAACTTCCCTTCAAATTTGGTTTCTTTAGAGAATTTAATATTTTTACCACAGTTGTGGAAGCATGCAATATGCAAACGAATATATCCGCACTGGGTTAAAACATTACCTTCAGTCACACCACTTTCTGTGGCAGTTGAAAATGCCGGTTTATTGTCCGCACTCCGGAGCCAACAAAATCGATTTGTTTAATGGCAAATCCCTGTGAATGGCGCATTTCCCATGACTCGCTTCCGTTTGGCGAAACTTTCATCAAATCGATTGGGGAGCGGAGAATACAGATGTGGCAGGCAGAAGGCGAGATCTAGGACAGTTGGGAGGTGTTTGGTAGGGATGGCCAAGTCATCGCCATCGTCGGCTTCCACTCTCTGATGTTTGGTGTCTGCAACTTTTTGCCCCCAGTTTGATGATGATAATGATGATGATGATGAGGACGATAATACCAATGATGATGATGTTAAACGCTGCAAACTGCACGTTCATTGTGTGCTCAAAGTGTCAGCTGCCTGGCACACCGAGAATCTCATGTAAAAGTTGTGTGTATATAGCCCAGACGTGCTTCCAACTAACAGCTACTTCCGTTCCTCAATAAAGACCATTGTCTCTGCGCTTTTGTTGCTTTGTTTCCAGTGGGCCGCAAAGTATGCTGTACAATTTATTGACTTGGGTTGTAACTGGCTTCGTTTTAATGTCGAGTTTTTATTGCGAAAAATCTTCTAACAAGAGCCACTTTACGGTGTGCTTTCTAATAGGTACGGGTTGCATTGCTTAGAGAGATTTAACTGCTGGGTTGCGAAAACAAAAAAATGTTCTACAAAATCCAAGGAACTTTAACAATTAATTTAACAAGAACTTTAACTTGCGGTTAAAATTTTCATTTAACTTATAAAAATCCAAATGTTTTGTAATAATTATTATGCCTTTGAAGTTTAAATGTTTAGTTTCTGTTAAAAATTAGAAAATATTTACATTTCGGATGCTAAAAATAAAATAATATGCTTAATATACTTTATTTTACACGGATATTGTCTGCATTTTCAAAATTATATTTTTTCTTCTTCTTGGTAAATTATAAATCTAGAATTTTAATCAGTTCCCTAATCTCTGCATATTTTCTAACCAATTTATACTGTATTCATGTGTTGGCTTTTCAGCAAGCTTCAACTTTTATCGGCTGCAATTGATCTGTCCAAAAAACAGACAAAATTATTTTCTTGGCACGCTTTCAATCAAAAGCCAAATGGCTCTTGAGGGGATTTATTCAATTTGGCTTTAGCACAGAGAACAAGTATATAGAGTATTCCTTCATTTCTCATCGAAATCTTCACTGGTGTTGTAAACTGGCTGCAGGCGTCTTGGATATTTACGCAAATAGTCGGCATAATGTTGTGCATATTTGGCCTGAAAGTCACGACGCCTGCAGGGTTGTGCGGGTTCAAAGAAGTTTTCATTGTTAGTGTAGATGTTTTGATAGTTATTTGTGGCCAATGAACGACTGCCTCCGATTTGGACCACTTGCTCGTCCTCGCGACGAGAATCACTTGAGTCTAGTTCCGAATTGTATGGAGGATTGGGTTGTAGTTGAGATGGAATAGTTTGGGGATATTGCAGAGGTGGCGATGGCGTTGTCTGCTGTTGTTGGTAGAAAAAGTAACCTGGCACATTGTTGTAGTTATGATTGGGAGCACGCGTTGCTGGTACTTCCTCCCTCCGCCAATTTGAATAGGGTTGTCGGTAAAGTTCCCTTCTATCATAACTATCACCATTTGGATATTGCTGCTGTTCTTGGGCACTGTACTGATTATCATTCACTACGATTGGGGATCCAGACCATATCGATTGCACTTCTGGTGGGGTATATGGTTGGGCGTATGAGGCAGTGGAAATTGCATAAGCAGCACTGCCATAAGGTGATGCATACTGAGCTCTCCCCCAAACTGCATCTATCATTAAAGGCATCATGGCATATAGCTAAAAATATTCATCAATAGATTAATCATCTCGGGTGTCGAATCACTTGGAAATGCAATGCTTACCAAGCTCAAGGGGCTGCTCTTGACGATCCGTCCTGTTCGCGGCTTCATTTCTGACTGTTCAGAACGATTTATGCTAATAACGTATTTATATGAGGTTTCGCAACAGTCACTCGACACTACAATATAGTATAGTATTTGTATAGTAGTGCATGATGTTCGTTTGCAGCGCCTCTGTCAAGGTGACTGGATGAGCAACCCAACAACTTTAACTGACTCAAAAATTTGTGGCGGCGAATCTCTGAAGTTGCTTTTTTTTTTTTTTTCTCACGCACGTTTTCTATCCAGCCCTGACAACTTAAGTGCGGCATCGTTGTTTTGGGCCTGGCTCGGAGTGGAAAACTGTTTGCCGGCACACGGGCAGCAGGCAAATTGTGCTGTCACGTACCGCGTAATTAGTAATTAGATTTTAAAGTCAACCGTAATTAGAGGTTAACAAGAGCGAGTGTTGAAAACGATAGCCTCACACCTGACAGCTGCTGACTGCTTTATGAACTTATTGGTAAAGCTACTTGCTATGAGGAAAGCTGAAGTGTAGAAAAAGTTATAGAAATGTAACATATATATACTTATATATTATTTAAAAGCATTACAAGTAAATATTTTAGAACGTTTTTTGTTAAATATATATTTTAATCAATATGGTATGTGATATAAAACTCCTTTGAAGTGCATAAAAAATGTTCTTATTTAAAAAAAAAACCCTAATAAATAACAAGTTTCGGTTTGGAAAAATATGAGTTTTATTTGTAATTACAATTTGAATTTAGCTGTTCAATTTACTTTTATAAATTTGGATGCATGTGAAAAATAAAGAAGGCACCATCGCGAGGCACTGGAAGCTGGCTCAGGAATTCGCCGCCATCGTACGAATCGTTGAACAATTGGTTTAAATTAAAGTTTGGTTCACTCTTTTTGACCACGGGCATGCCATGACACATACTGTCACGCGTCAAGTACTAAAAGATATAAATAATGAATGATTTTTGAGCAGGCACACATAATACTTATATATTTACCATTTTTTCCCTTATGATGGCCAAACTTTCGGGTGGCGGTGGTTGGTTGAAGGGCTCCTTTTTGAATATATTTTCGCCAAAGCACTTGAGCAGGTGGGACGTTATTATATTTCTGGCCCTAGCTTCGGCTGGATTATGGGAAGCATTGCGAAGTTTATCTATCCACATGGTGGCCATGGTCTTGGAGCGAAAATCTAGAGGGCACACCTGGTGCTCCAATTTCTCAATGTCCCGCTCGAATTCCTCGTCAAATTTGCTGATTTCTGGGTTTGGTTTTTTGGAGGTCGAGGGCTCCTGTTTTGCCAATTCTCGTTCCATTTCTCTTTCACGCTGGCGTTCTTTCTCGAGGTCTTCTTTCCATTCCAGCTCACGTTGCCTGGAGAGCTCTCTTTCCCGCTCGAGATCCTTTCGCCGTTGACGCTCCAGTTCCTGTTGCAGTTTACGTACAAGTTCCTCATCCTTTTTACGCACCTTGCGATCCCCTTCACGACTCTTTTCCAACTTCATCGTCTGCGAGCTATCCATGATTTGGCTTTTTTGCCTGTCACTGCGATCGGTGCGAATCAACATCCCGAAAAGTTGTTTAAAACACTAAAAACGATATTTTAATTTACCCTTCTTTCACTTCTCGTTTGTACATCTTTTTGAATATGCCCTTAAATCCATGTGTGTTTTTGTTACTCATACTGACGGATCTGTCAAATAAAACTGATGAGAACGGACTGATCCAGATTACAAAAATAATGTTATTTGAATGTAAACAAGGGTTTACTGTGGTTTAGTTCTTTTTAGATTCTAGAATCCCTTTAATAAGTTAAATAATAATATTTTTAATTTTCCATTTTTAGATGAAAACACCCGCCATACAGAATGATTTCAGCTATTACAGACGTATTGTCAGCCGGCAGCGTGTGGACTCCACGGAGAACATGCTGGTCAGCACTGAACTGGCCAACCGGATGTCCCTCTTCTACGCCCACGCCACGCCCATGCTCAAGGTGCTGAGCGAGGCCACCTCAAAGTTTGTCAACGACAATGCCGATGATGTCCAAAACACGACAGAAACGCTGGGCACAATGGCCAAAGTGTGCCTAAGGATGCTGGAAAATCCGTAAGTTATATAAAATGACAAAATTAGGGATCATAGAAAATGTTCACGATTGATTGTGTTTAAAAAGAATCAAAACAACTAGTTCAACTAGTAACATATCATTGATAGAATCCAAAATAAGACCACAGATTTGATCATAGTCAAACTTTGAAAACTATCACCCCTTTTTTTTATTGGCAATATAAATTATTTACTTTTCAATTTGAAATATATTAAACTAGTACCTCAAATAGACGAATTAAATATATATACTCTACTAAAAAACTAAATGTTATATTTTTAAATTCTCAATTTAGAATTAAGAACATTTTATATATTTGTAGTTTTAACCGCGATTCCGGGAAAATTATAATATTGGTTATATCAAAGGATCTCAATGTTCTAATCGATTCCCTATATATTATTTTTTTCGCAGCAAACTCCTGCAACAGATTGAGCGTGAGGACACAAAAATGCTGGTGCTGCGCGTGATGGTCGGCCTGGTGATCCTCTACGACCATGTGCATCCGGAGGGGGCGTTCGTGCGGGGCGCCCATGTGGACGTGAAGGGGTGCGTGCGCCTGTTGCAGGCGCAGCCGGCCATCAAGGCGGAGCCGCTGCTGAATGCCCTGCGATACACGACGAAGCACCTAAATGGAGAGAACACGCCGAAGAACATACAGCGCCTACTGGCCGCATAATATCGGAGGGGACCGAAGAAGGGCGGAGAGTTCATTAACGTTAATTTCTATGTGTATGCGTATCGATTTAAATGGTTTTACTTTATTTATGTAATTAGTAGGCTTCTGTATTATTTGTAAAAATTGTGAGCGAGTGTTGTGCTAGCAGGAGGCAGCCTCTAGTTTTATTTTTACCCTGTGTGCATTTCCAGCATTTGTTTCGTACTGTTTTAGACTCCAGCCTCCTTGTAACGTAACGATGTCGGACGAAGTGGGACGCATATATCAGCAGCAACAATATTTAGTTGATAATCTAGCCCTAATTTTAAGTAATGAAAAGAAACCCTATTAACCTAACAACAAATTAGCGCAAAGTTTAAACTGATGGTTGGGAAGATATGAGAGATAAATCCTAAATTTCACTAAAGCAGAGATTATAAATATAAAATTGCATTTTTAAATCAAATCTAGAGTATTTTTTTGTACATGACGACGATGTGTAGAACGAGGTGTTAAGATCTAAACAATGCATAAATTAATTGATTACTATAACAACAAACGAATTGTACGAACTAAAATGCCTACTCACAACTGAACCACAAGCAGAAAGCGGATGCATTTATATATTTCCACGCCGTCAACTTTGATAAACGTATTTAAACAAATCTACAAAATAAACTTGAGCTGCGCAATAATAATAATTTTTAAGATTTACAAATAGAAATAAAAAAATGAATGAAATGGCAAAACTTAACGCATACGATTTGTACCAAAAAAAAAAAAATTAAAAACAAAACAATGAAAATCACACAAAGTAAATAAAGATTTATATATGCGATAAGAGCGAGAAGAAACTAAAGAAAGAACTATAGAGAATGCTGAATCAAAATAAATATCACGCAAAATCAACCAGATAAATGTTTGCATTTTAATGGGTTATACTGAAATTGTTTTATATTTTATAACTGGAAGTGAAATTCTTTGAATGTAAAGTAAGATTGTTAAAAATCGTTTTTTTTCTGTCCAGAAAATTTTAAAGATCTTTTAGGTACATTTTTCAATATTGCTCTTTATTTAAATTTGAAGGCGTTTAAATATCGATTGTCGGAATTGTCGTCACGCCTTTGTCAGCTAATTTAGATTAGCCGCAGCAGGCGACATCGTCCTGCTTGGGCGGAGCCTGCTCATCGTCGGCGTAGTGGATGCTGCGGACCACCTGGTGATGGTGTTGGTCATGCTCATTCATCGGGGCCTCGTTGTCGTTGGTGTGGGGCAAAGCTGAAAGTGCAGGAGAACCAGTTATATGAAGCTGACTCCATGTGTTAGCCAATGCAATCCTTGCCAGAAGCCATTAAGATGGCGAGACCCAGGATGAGAGTGCAGAGGAGTAGGAACTTCATGACTGCGCTGGCTTGCTATACAGATGGCTCGGTTGCTTCTGATGCTCTGGAGCTATCCAGACTGCCTATTTATACAAAATGCAGCTTCCTAAAAACTGTTCCAAACGGGCAAAAACACTTGTCGTTGCACAATAAGCTATAAATTAATTGATATTGAAAAGTGGCTTGTATTTGGCAGCGATGGGTATCGCCATAACGAAACACATAAAGCTTAACAATTGAGTTATTTTCTTTTCTGTTTTTTTTTTGTACAATGGAGCTTCTATAATTAAACAAAGGCGAAGGGAGGAAAAAAGGGGGTAAGTTAAAATTACGCTTACAAAGCGAGGGTGTCCGAATCAACATATAGAGGGCAGAGAATGGAAAAAAACTAAGCATTAACTAATTAAATGTCCTGGAAGCGGGCCGGTGCTCATGTACTGTTGTTGTTACTCTGGCGCGGCTTTAATATCAGCTTCCCCGTGTCGTCACAGCTCATATTAAAATCTCCCAGTACCGTTCGCGTTCGGGACGTGATTATCTGCGGCGCTATGACCAGTTTCTGTATGCCCAGGATGAAGAGGACGACTGGAAAGTAATGGAGAGTGTGACATTTAGTACAGATTCAGCAAGTGAAAGAGTTTAATTTAAACTTATATCTGTTGGATTAGTTTCAAAACTCCTCAAAAACACATATCAAATGGCAGTTTACAATGGACTTAGTTTTAATGGTTTATTCTAGTTCATATCAGCACTTTAAAAACCCTTTCTATGATAATCGCTCTAAAACAAAATGGTCTCATATGTTTTTTTTTAGCAAAAATCCTAATCAGTTAACTATCTACATTATGGTGACATGGCAGAATAGCATTCTTTGGCAATGGAGCATATGCTCCGATTAGATCAAATCGTTTTTGTTAACAAAAGTAATAAGAGTTTGCAATTCATCATTAGTATTGAAATAATAATAATTCAAAGTAATACGAATGAATCTAAGAAATACATTTTTATTATAGCTTATGACTGGTTTCTGAAACATTTAACTGGTTTTTCTTTGCATAAATATATTTTTTTTCACTTATTAATTGGTTTTGCTCAAGACAAATATTATAAGGGAACATTATTATATAGGAATTCCCTTCTACTTGTCTTTTCCTACATATTTTGTAATACTAAGATACATTATGAAGAAACATTACTATATAGAAGGGCATTTCTACTTGCTCACTAAGTAACAATACATAATGGACTTTGAAATCACCGGCTAAAAGTGTTTTAAGTACAGTAGCTTAAAATAATTTTCATATTACCATTGCCTTGAATGGAATATGCTAGTGAATATCCGGAAAACTTACTCAATGTCAGGGTGGCGACTGTGAAGATGGGGTGGATCCAGAGGGACTCCGTCAGCGGGACGACGGTGGTCCGCGGATCCCGTAACCAGTACCAGGCGCTAATGGCTGTGCACATGGACATGGCGGAGAGGACAACTGCAAGAAGTTCTACTGTTATTACGGGCCGTACTGCTCGTGCATTGAGTTATTCGGGATTAACTTACTGCGCCAGCGGAACGTCGAGGGCCGGTAGGATGAAACCACTTCGGTGAGGCGCCGCTCGAAGGCCTTGAGATCTTTACCAGAGCAAACAAAAACAAACGCAGTTATTTGTGGTAGTTGGTAAACATAGTCAGTGGATTGCGCGTTTTCCGGGTTTTTTCACAGCAACTTACCTTCGCAGGCTGACGGTTCCATTTCCTCGATGCTCGTGGCCGCCTTTATGCGATTGAATTTGTCCAGCTTATATATTTTTGCGAAATTTGCTAGATTTTGATAGGATTCTCATAGCTTTTTTTTTTATGTTTTTGATGATATTCCACGTTAGCCAACACTACGAAGAGAATGAATTAGTCAACACTAAAAGACATGGTCGTAGCAAAAATGGGGTACTAAATGGCATCCCTTATAAATTATTATGCCAAAGAAATAATACATTTTATAAGTAATGTGTTTGCTAGTATTAATATAATTTTTTTTTTTTTTAATTTGAGTATTGCACTATTTTAATGGTTACCTAAGAGGTTTTTTGTAAATAAAAACCCTCAAAATGGGTTTTGGCCTACGTCCATGTGCTAAGGTTGTTTTCCTGAACGTGAAACGGTCACACTTGGGCAGCTGTTGCGAAAAAAGGCGGAAAAATAAACCTTGTAAAATTAATTGTAGTCGTAAATGCAAAAAATTTAAGGTGTTTAAACGACGAAATGAACAACACTAAGGTGCCACCCGAGTGGAAGAGGCGTGTCAAATCGGAATATATCAAAATCAGGCAACAGAAGCGCCACAAACGAGCCGACGAAATCAAGGAGGCGTGGATAAAGAATTGGTAAGCGCGGGAAGGAGAAGGTAGAAGTCTGGAAACGAAGCTATCGAAATCTTTGTTTATCCCCCAGGGACGAGCACAACCATAATGTTCAGGATCTGTATTGCGAGTCGAAAGTTTGGCAGGCTAAACCGTACGATCCGCCGCATGTGGACTGTGTGAAGCGAGCGGAGGTGACCAGCTACAATGGCATTCCCAGTGGCCCCCAGAAGATTCCGATCTGCGTGATCAACGCCGTCACACCCATTCCCACCATGTACACGTGGGCGCCCACCCAACAGAACTTCATGGTCGAGGACGAGACGGTGCTGCACAATATTCCCTACATGGGCGACGAGGTCCTCGATAAGGATGGCAAGTTCATCGAGGAACTGATCAAGAACTACGATGGCAAAGTCCACGGCGATAAGGATCCGTCGTTCATGGATGATGCCATCTTCGTGGAACTGGTCCATGCCCTTATGCGTTCTCATAGCAAGGAATTGGAGGAAGCCACGCCGGGCACATCCACATCCATAAAGACGGAGACATCTGTAAAACCCAAAGAAGGGAATGAGAATGATGAAGTGGATGTGGCTCGAGAATCTCCCGAGAAACTCGAGAAAACTGACAGTAAAGTCGATCTGCGAGTGGTGGAGAAGAAGGAAAAGGAGGAAGCTGAGACCAACGAGGCTGGCGATGTTAAGCCAGCGGTGGAAGATGCCAAGGACAAGCTGCCCTTTCCTGCTCCTATCATTTTCCAGGCCATCAGCGCCAACTTTCCAGATAAGGGAACTGCACAAGAGCTCAAAGAGAAGTAGGTTTTTTTAAGCAATTATTATTACATTAACATAGGGAGGGCTTATTATTATTATTATTATTATTCAAATTAATTGAACACACTTATTGTTTTAGGTACATTGAGCTCACCGAACACCAGGATCCGGAGCGTCCCCAGGAGTGCACGCCCAATATAGATGGCATCAAGGCTGAGAGTGTCTCTCGGGAAAGGACTATGCACTCCTTTCACACACTCTTCTGTCGGCGATGTTTCAAATACGATTGCTTTTTGCACCGTAAGTTTAACCGTGGGAACTTCTGCCAGCTGGGTTACCTAATGACTTTACGTTTTGTTTTTGCTTTTCTTTTCTTGTTTGGAAACAATTTAATTATTGCCAAAAAAAAAAAAAAAAAATCCTTACCATTTCTTAAACCCAAAAATGAAATTCAAAAATGTTGTATTGAATTAATTGCAATTTAGGTCACCATGTGCAGGGTGAGTCGTTGTTGTAGTTGTTGTTTCGATAACCACACGCACACACTCTCATGCCGTTAGCCCGTCCACGCCTCCGCATCCTCATCTCGCTGTCTATGAATATAATATATATATATATAAATAATCCCTCATATCTGTGGATAATTGGCTATGTTTGTCATGTGTCTAAATTGATTCTTCGGTGTTGCTCACCTCATTCCGTGTGGCTTTGCCTGGACCATTTCTGTATCCCTCTCTCTCTTTCTCTCTGGAAAAGTAACCGATTACCCTCATGCTAATCCAAAAGCATTTCATGGTCATCAAGTGTTGTGTGGTCAATGGAGTCCTTCTAATTCCGTTGCTCTCTTTCCACAGGCTTGCAGGGACATGCGGGTCCCAATCTGCAGAAGCGTCGCTATCCGGAGCTGAAGACCTTCGCCGATCCCTGCAGCAACTCCTGCTATATGTTGATTGTAAGTTGGATAAGTACATTTTAAACGCTTACGAAATATTCTATACTGTCTCATGATTATTTCCAGGATGGCATGAAGGAAAAGCTGGCGGCCGATAGCAAAACACCGCCCATTGATTCCTGCAATGAGGCCAGTTCCGAGGACAGTAATGACAGCAACAGTCAGTTTAGCAACAAGGACTTCAGCCATGAGAACAGCAAGGATAATGGTCTGACTGTCAATAGCGCAGCCGTCGCTGAGATTAACTCAATAATGGGTGAGTTCTAGCCTTAAACAATAACTCTTCCATGGAGTTAATAACTTTTTTTTTTTTTTTTCAGCTGGCATGATGAACATCACCAGTACGCAGTGCGTCTGGACTGGAGCCGATCAGGCGCTCTATCGTGTTTTGCACAAAGTTTATTTGAAAAACTATTGTGCGATTGCTCACAATATGCTGACAAAAACCTGCCGCCAGGTGTATGAGTTTGCCCAAAAGGAGGATGCCGAGTTCAGTTTCGAGGATCTGCGTCAGGACTTCACGCCACCGCGCAAAAAGAAGAAGAAGCAACGCCTTTGGTCGCTGCACTGCCGAAAGATTCAGCTGAAAAAGGACTCGTCCTCGAATCACGTTTACAATTATACACCCTGCGACCATCCCGGACATCCCTGCGACATGAACTGCTCGTGCATTCAGACTCAGAACTTCTGTGAGAAATTCTGCAACTGCAGCAGCGATTGCCAGAATCGTTTTCCAGGATGTCGCTGCAAAGCGCAGTGCAACACAAAGCAGTGTCCTTGCTACCTGGCGGTGCGCGAATGCGATCCTGATCTTTGCCAAGCCTGTGGAGCGGATCAGTTTAAGTTGACCAAGATCACGTGCAAGAATGTTTGCGTGCAGCGGGGACTGCGTAAGGAATTTTTCTTCTTTTTTATATATAATATCTGACCCGTTAAATGAGAGCTTGTTAATCAGTTATAATATCTGTTTTTTCTAACTTTTTAAGTCATAACAACTTTTAAGACTTAATACTATCATGTTATGGTCATTAGGTAGAACTTTTTTCCATTATATTTAGATTAAATGAGACTCAAAAATCCAGAAATAGAAATAGGATATAATTTTTGAAATACTAACCAATTACATCCCACTTTCCAGACAAACACTTGCTGATGGCCCCCTCTGACATTGCCGGCTGGGGAATCTTTCTCAAGGAAGGCGCCCAAAAGAATGAGTTCATTTCGGAATATTGTGGAGAGATCATTTCCCAAGACGAAGCCGATCGGCGAGGCAAAGTTTACGACAAGTACATGTGCTCGTTCCTCTTCAATCTAAACAACGATTTTGTTGTGGATGCCACTAGGAAGGGGAACAAGATCCGATTCGCCAATCATTCCATTAATCCCAACTGCTATGCCAAGGTGATGATGGTCACCGGCGACCATCGCATCGGCATCTTTGCCAAGCGGGCCATTCAGCCCGGCGAGGAGCTCTTCTTCGACTACAGATACGGACCCACAGAGCAGCTCAAGTTCGTGGGCATCGAGCGTGAGATGGAGATTGTTTAATGAATAGTCTACTGATGAATCTACTCTATATGAATAAAACTATATTTTCATAAAACACTCAAACGGACTTGGCCACATTGGCTATAATTGGTTTTGGACGCGATTTGAAGATCAATTTCTTGGTGCAAACAGCGCGAACAGTGTACTCGGTTCTCTGGCGACTCTTGTGCTCCTGGGCAATCGTGTGATCCAGCACAGTGCGTTCTGCTCCCGTGGTGGCATTCAGCATGCTCACATCCTGAGAGGCCATGCTCGTATCCAAGAGTCGTTCTCCCTCATTGGTCTTGGACTTTTCCAGCACCGCAAATGGTTTATCCAACTTTTGTTCGCGGCCCTGAAGAATGTGATGGCCTATGATGAGAATCTGGCAATGATAAAAAGGGGATTTGTTAATAATTGGTTTGAGTTATTGATTTCAACTCACAGGTTGTCCATATTTATTGTAGTAAAGGTCGCCAATGAACTGATCATGCATGTCCTGATTACTTCTCACCTCCAGGTCGCCTTGTAGCTCTATAATAGCCCAATCACCTTTGCCAGCGCTTTGTCTGAAATACAAAATCATAGATTTTAATTTCCCATATCATGTTTTTATATAATTAATCCTCGGTCTTAGGGATTCACTTGATCCCAAAAAGTGCAAGAGACTTATATTTATTTTTTGTAGAATTTTATTCATGCTTCACAGTTGCCTACGACTGTATAAAGTCTATCCCCTGAATTTCTTGAACAGCGGATGCACGCTGCCCACATTCTTGCGGCGATGTTCGTAGTAGATGGCGTCATCTCCGCCCGACATCGAACTTAGACCGCCAGCTCTTCGGACGGTGCCGCCCGCACCACTTGGACGGAAGCCCGGTTCGCCCGGCAGCTTCTCATCCTCGCAGTCCAAATCGGAGGCGGACAGGACTAATTGGAGAAGCTGACCCTGCTCCTCCTGGGTGCCGTACATCAGATCTGCGTCCGTGTCCATGCCCTTGAGATGCGTGATAACCTTGTAACTGTAGCCCTGGTTGACCAAGAACCGCTGACGCTTGCGGGAGTAGCTCATCTCCATGGTGTCCTGCGAGACGAGCGTGTAGAAGAAAGCGTTGTACTCCTCGGCAATGGCGCCCTTCTTGGCACGCAGGATACGACCCAGACGTTGGGCTTCCTGGCGACGAGAGCCTCCGTGCGAGGAGATCTGAATAAGCACGTTGGCCTCGGGCAAATCGAAACTGGTGTCGGCCACTTTCGACACGAAAATTGTGTTCACCTGTAACGGATATTGTATTATTAATTGTTATATTATTTATTAAATTTACTGCACGCACCTTGGAGTTAAATTTAAAGTTCTGCAGAATCTGGATACGTTCGTTCTGCGAGGTGGGACCGTAGATGAAAGGCTTGTTCATCTTGATGGCATAGTGCTTTAGGGCAAACACATTGTCCGAGAAGACAATCGTTTTGTCGCCTCGCTGCTCGTGATATTTGATGAGAAACTGGCAGCTGCGGAACTTGGAGGGATTCATCACATAGAGCAGCATCTTCTTGGAGGTCTTTGTGGTCAGGTACTCGCGGTAGAACTCTGGCGACATGGGGCACCACACCTCAGCGCACTGCACACGTGCGATGTAGCCCTTCTTTTGCAGCTCCAGCCAGTTGGCCTCGTATAGCTTTGGTCCAATCAAGAAGTTGAGATCCGCAATCTTGTCATCTTCACGCAGTAACGTTGCCGTCAATCCAAGCTTGCAGTGGGACTGAACTATGGTCAGCACACGACGGAACATTTTGGCTGGGATTGTGTGCACTTCGTCCAGCACCATGATTCCCCATTCCTGCTCTTGCAGCCAGCGCATCGTTTGCTCTGCCTCCCAGGATCTCTTTTGTGTGTGTGTGATCATGGAATAGGTGGTCACGAGTATGCCACAACCCATGGGTTTGTCTTTTGCCTCGGAGGTGAACCTACAGATCATGCTATCATCCGCAGTGGACCACATTTTGAACTGCTGTTTCCACTGCTCCACGGAAACGCCACTGTTGCACAACACCAGAGCTCTTTTCCTCACAGTGCAGCAGGCCGTGACTCCTACAAGGGATTTTCCAGCTCCGCAAGGAAGAACAATGACCCCAGAACGGGCTCTTCCATTGCCAAACATCTTGCGCAGACTCTTCTCCTGATATGGACGCAAAACGGCAGCGGGTTTCAAGTCTATATTGATGTCGGGATTGTTGGTGTCATTGCGAAAATCGTACTCGGCCAGCAGGGGATGCTCAATCTCGATGCAGCGCTTCTGAATCACCTCGATCTTCTCCTGGGCCACCTCAAAGGATACAGTCTTCAGATTGGCCTCATCCTCGTCCTCCTCCTCCTTGTCGATCTTCTCGTAGAAATCTGTGATGTCCTCGGGCACTGCCGTTGTTCCATCTGCGGCTGTAGGAGCACCTCCAGCTGCCGCAGGATCCTCTGCCGGCTTGTCCGTTGCCCCCGGCGGCAATTTCGTGCCGAACTGTGTGATGGCCTTGCCATCGAGGGTGCCCTGAATGAAGTCCTCACCTTCGCTGCGAATCAGGCGGCATTTCTGGATCACCGGATCTTTAAGTAACTTCTGCAGCACCTCGGGATGTGGTGACTCTATAAAGTACTTGTTGTGCTTCAAGACCAGCTTGACTTTGCCATAGGAAAGGGTGCAAAGGCGGATAAACTCCAGGATGCCCTCGGGAATGCTAGTTTTGCTCAATCTCTTGAGGTATTCCACAATGTCATGGGTTTGCAGGCCCACCGAAACGGCGGCATATAAACTATAGGCCGTGAGCTTATATTCATGGATGTGTTCCGGTCGGCAGACGGGTTCCGAGATGGCGATGAGGAAGTCATGGGCGTGCTTGTAGACAGGTGAAAAGGATTCCAGGAAGACGTGACCGTTGGGAGCCACCCAAAGTGGGCGATTGCCGTGGTCCTGGCGGAGTTGCATTTGCGCCCGGTAATCCTTGGCCCCGTATTCATCCGTATTGATTTGTTCATCATTAGTTTCCGCGTTTTTGGAGGCAGCACCCGGAACTCCGTCCGATTCTGTGGCATCCAAACTGTCGTTGTCGTCCACCAGTTGAGTGAATGCCTCATCCTCGACACGTCGCTTTTTTGCTGGGGAAAATTCCCTAAGTTACGCCTCATTTGTGTTGTTTTTCACATGTCCCATACTCACCGAATTTATCCGAACCACTGCGATCCTTTTTCGACTTTTTTGGCGGCGCCATTTGAACAAAAAACAAAAAATAATTTCACAATAGATCCGCGCACTAAATCGCAGATTGCCAGAAACGAGATGACAATAAGTAAATAAGGTGGCAACACTGCCACTTGCAGCCGGCCAAAGACAAGACCTTTGTTATAACTTATTTTCACCTTATAATAAGCCTTATTTATACTGGATTTCAAGATACTTACGTCCTTACTAGAATGGGCATGTTGTTTTTGGCTTGCACAACTCACAACAGTTAATAAACCGGCGAAATAACAAAGACGACCGCCTAAAACCACTTTTGACTCGTTTTGCAACACTGAGAAATCGATAGGCGATAGCAACATAGCGATGCCATATTATATATGGTCAGCTGTTTACAGTTTTACAGCCTATGAACATTCCAAATTCAATTCAAATCAAAAAAATTGTAAAACCTAAAAAAGTATACGAACAAATATAACACAAACTAACTAATTTGAGCCAACTAACTATTAAAAATATTCTTTTAGCTATCTTAAAGTACAATAAAAAAAAATAAAGTTTCTTGTTTACTAAAACCACAAAATTTCATATCATTATTTTCAAAAAACAACTATTACTTTATTTTCTATACTTTTTAATATATTTGTTTTAAAAATATATTTTTAAAAATTCTTTCCTAAGTCATTGTCGTAAAAATATAATCCCAAGTGCTTTGATCTTATGCTCAACAGATGTGAGAAATACATTTTGAAATAATGACCTCAGACAAGAAGAAATCCCCGGCAAAAAAGAAATCGCCGGAGAAAAAAAAGAACAAGGATAAAAAGTCGAAAAAGGGTTCTAAAAAAGGAGCTGTCAGCTCCAGTCTTGCGAAGATATGTTTTGCCATAGCTGTTTCCGATCTTTTGCATGCCTTGTATTTCACCATACAGACGATGATTCTTTTGATTCACAAGGTAGGTAATGTTTAATTAAAAATGAAATATTTTATAAAAAACACACACATTTAAATAAACAGTTCAGCATGTTTGCTATGTTGGCGCTTCTGGGTGTCATTTTCTGGGTTGTAATTGTCGTTATGCTTATTGTTGGACTATGGAAGGTTCGTAGGCACTACTTGTAATTAATAGATATCTTAAATATGAAATTCCCATCAGCGAAAGGCAAGTTTGGTTCGATTTTGGCTTATATTTTCTTTAGCTGGCTTTATCACCGATGTTCTATTCCTTCTTTGGGGCATAGCGACTTCAATCACTGTGGATTGGGACCGTCTTCAAGAGTTTTCAATCGTCTTCTTCGGCATATGTAAGATTTATATAAATTATATTAATATTTATTTATTTACCTCTGATATATTTTTTAGTTATTGAAAGTACCTGCATTTATCTCATACATCGGTATTATCAGACTATGGGTGAAAAGCATAAAGAGAAACGGCCCTTGTGTCCCTGTAAGCAAGCTGTTAACATTATTTGATAGTTATTTTTAATACTTTTTAATAGGTAGCGGCAATAGTGACAAGAAAAAATCAAAAAAGAAGCATGCCAAAAAATAAAAAAGTTCCATTGATATATTTACATATTTAAAACATGATTAGTTGGCCTTGTTTCTTCTAGCCTAATAAAATATATTTTTATACCATTGCTTGACAAAGTTGCGTTATTTAATAAGTTTTCAAGGAATCAATTATAATTCATAGGAAATGGCGTTTGGAATCAAAGAGTGGAATTTCCCTAAGGATAACCTTTTAAGGATGTGTTTCCTAATTTCCGCAATTGAATTATTGCGTTCGCTTTATTTCTCATTTAGTTCGGTTACTGTGATGACATCGCATGTAAGTTTTAACCAAATTTTTGAATATTTTAACTATATAAATTGATCACCCGATATGCTTTAGACGAATTATTATACCATAATAGCTTTTCTAAGCACTATAGCGTGGATTTTGACCGTTGTTCGACTTTTTGTGGGTTTGTGGATGGTAGGTTGTAAAAAAAAATGAGTTGTTACTGAAGTCAAAATATTTGATTAACTTATTTTTAATTAGAGTCGTCCAAATCTTCTTGTATTTTGGTTACTTTTTTCTGGCTTTGCCACTGTCACGCATATTATTTTCTTGATTTGGAATGTAACGTCTTCTCCCATTTTCGATGAGGATCATTTTAAGCACTGGGCTATTTTGTATTTGGGAATTCGTAATGTTTTTATTTAATATTGTTTGAGAGAAAATAACCAAATATTTTTGCAGTTTATGAGTGCACTTGTTTGTACTTAGTATTTAGATATTTCCAGAGGCTGTGTTCCTATTGTCTTCTGGAAGGCGGCAACTATGGTTTTATCTCTGAAGGTGGTAATGGTAAGCGGGCATCTAAGCTACTTACTTTATGGCGACCATTTCATCTAGAAACACAGAAGACTGTCACAGAGATGCTGAAACAGAGACAATTTCAACAACTTCAAACACAATTACTGCTGAAAATAAAACAGAAGATTATTAAGCTTATTTGGAGAAAATCAAGAAAAAGCACAAATCTCGTATGTTCTTTTGATTATGGGAAGGCACTCTCTATGAATTACAAAAAAAAAAAATTAAATACAAACATTTCTTATCGGTTGATTTCAATTTACCGGCCAATGGAGAGAGAGAACCAAATCATTTTCCTCCTACAAACAATAATAATAATTGAGTTACACAGTTTTCCATCTACTTTACGATGCCTTCGAGGACAAGAGCTAGTCACGTTGCCAACGGGGGACCAGGACCAGGACAATCCAATCTCCAGGGCCTGCTGACAAAACAAATGCCATAAATGAGAAGCAGGCAGATGGTCGCACAAAACTTGTCATATCTTTGTCGGCAAAGGCGGGTTGTGTGATTTTTTTGGGAGTCCTCTAATAGTGAAGGTCAAAGAACATAAATAAAATAGCTGTGAGGATAAATATAAAAATGAATATTTATATTAAAATATTAAATGCAAACATGGAGCTATAAAAATTGTTTCATTGGCAATTTAAGGCGAAAAAAAAATACTTCCAAAAAAGATAATTGATTCTAAAAAGTAAATTTCCCTTATCATACAATGTTGTTTCCTTGCCTTTCACTATAGAAATTTAATATTGTTTTCTTTATTACAAATGGAGTTAAATATTTGAAATTTTGCAAATATTGCTTTTTTTCTAAAAGTGTGTGCTATTAATATGAGTTTAAAAAAATTTTTAAGAAATACATAATCTTGTGATAAAAAGTTTAATATAGTTTTTATTCCTTTTGCCACTGTAGCAAACCAAACCTTTTGGCCCACTGTGCGCTGCCTGGGAATTTTGGCAATCAAACGGCATTGATTAACAGTCAGCCAAGACCATTCCCCCCACCTCCACCTCTTGGCAAGTACGTGCTTATCATCATTATAGCTTTGATTTAGTAGACAACATTCCCAATGATGTGATGAACCTGAGCCGGGGCGATGGGGTCAAATTCTGATGGATATTTAGTGCCCTGCGCCTATTGCATCGCCTTGCTGGACTTCATATCCGCCGTGCTATTCGCAATTATCTCAGCAGTGGTATTTTCCAAGCATGTAAGTCGATAAGCTCCATACCTTTGGTGAAATTATGGTTACATTTTGGCATTTCCAGGGTAGTTGGACAGCATTGGTAGCGCTGATCTTCACCATCTTCTGGATGCTCGTAATCATTACTTTATTGGCGGGGATCTACAGGAGAAAACTGGGATTGGTTCGTTTTTGGTTGGTGTTCACCTGTCTGGGAATACTCATAGATGGAGTTATACTGCTTTATGGCCTGACTTTGGCCATTTCGGTGAACTGGGAGGGTGTTAAGATCACAGTGCTGCCATTCGTGGGATTGGGTTAGTTTTAATAATTACTCTTAACATCAATTGGTGATATTATTCATATTTTACAGCTGTGGAAATGACATTTGTCTACATAATTTACCTCTTCTATCTGGATATGACTGGCTATAGTCCTCCAGCACCACCACATGAAGAGCCTCATAGACTAACTAGCGGCAGCGAGGTAGAATACACCGAGGAAACAGATAAGACCTTGGATCGCAAGGATCTAAAACGCATGGAAAAACAGGCCAAAGAACGTATGAAAAAGGATAAAGCTGCTTTAAAAAAACTACAAAAACAAATGCGAAAGGGAATGAATTAGGTGTTTTAATAAGTACTCAAAAAAATTAGTTTATATTTTTAAAATGATTTATATATATATTTTTTTTGCCTTTAATTATAAATCTTGTTTAGAGCTCTAAAAAGCGCAGTATCCTTTGTCTTCGTTTTTGTTTGAAAAAAAAGCTCTTTAACTTTTATCACATTTAGGTTTGTGCACCTTTTCACACCCACACAACCCACTCACACAGACTTACTGTGCCGATGTTAAACACAAAATCCTTTTAAAAAAATTTGTTCAGCAGCGAGTAAAGAAAAATCAAGATACATACCATTCACATTCAGGGAATGCGGCGCCTTGCATTCCCTGTAAGTAAAACAAAATAAATATTTGTAGGCAGTTATTAGGTTTCGGAATTATTCGAAAAGCGAACGAAAAAAATAGTTTGTTTTTTGTGAAATAATTTTTATAGATATAGATAAAAAATGAAAAATAAAGATCAATTATATGGCGATAGATTGCTATTAGAAGACTGAAGAAAACTCAGCTTCATGGGATGTGATGGTGTGTTGTAAACTATTTTTCCTCTGGGATGTTGGATTTGGTAACGATTCTTGGGTTGAACTCTGGTTTGACTTTGTCGTTGGTGTTTGGGTTCACGATGCGGCTCTGTAAGATGTTGTTTAACAACTTTTCTCTCTATGGCTTTGTGACAGGCTTGACAAAATTCCAAAGTTACATAAAACCGGTAAACAATGTAAAGGAAAATGCACTCTATAACTTAAAAATACCAAAATTAATTGAAAGGCCAATCGAATTGTATTGCACTCACGCAATCCCAGCATCAGCAACAATCCATTTTTGATCAGACCCAGTTGGAAAGAGCTCTCGTTGAAAACGGCATACAAAATCAGGCACATCTCCACCAGGATTCCAAGGCAGGAGAAGATAATCCAGACACGAACACATCTGGGATTGCGCTGTAATTAAGCGGACGATACCATCACGCTGCCATCGATTGTGAACCACTTTTTTATACCCCATGAATTCCAATCAGGAGCATCAGTATCATCGATACCCAGAAAAGCCCAAAAACAACTGCGAAAATTGTCAGCCAACTCAACTGGGGGAGATACGAATGGGATATGTGAAGGTTTCAGCAATTATAGAATATCAGTGCTGCCTTACGCGTTTACAGATCGTCTTAAAGCTGACCAAAGAAAAGAGCACGGCGCTGACAAGATCAAAGAGGGCCACTCCGTAGCCCCACATCAACAGCGAATTCTGCGAAATCATGTCGAATATAGAAAACACGATTTTTGGCAATCAATGAAAAGAAAGTTAGATCACTTTTGTTGGGATAAGATAAAGTTTTAGTTTTTAAAACAAACAAAAACAGAATGTATTAAAGAATGAATTAAGTAACAAATATCTTTGATGTTTTATCAAAAGCATAAAACTTTACAAATTAAAAAATTAGTTTTAAGATATTATTGACTCTCTTTTTTATATCGATTATATATTTTGTGGCATATTTTTGGGACTCAATGTGTTTGACTCGGATTTTAAATTAATCGTTTTGATATTCGAACATATCTCTAATTCAATTTATTATGGTTTTTTAATTTATGCAAATTGAGTAGAAAAGGTTTTTAACCACTGAGCAAGATCTGATAACACCCTCGACAGGGTATAAAAACGGAAACGGAAATGACAGCCAAGTCTCGCAGCAATGGCTGTCGCATCTATTTATGCAGAGGCAAAATGAGACATACCACCGTATAAGTATATACGCACACATAATGCCGCGCTGATGAAATACGTGCGGCGGCAGCTCACACGCACACTCGTCCATTTTTCTACCCCTGTGTGAGTGAACGAGAGCGGGGGAATCCCCGTTGACAAATATAATTTACTTTTTTCGCGCTCATTTGCAACTCGAGCGGAGCAAGAAGTGGCGATGCCCCGGGGTGCGACAAAGCCTTCTTAAACATCTCACTTCCAGTTTAAGTTTTGCCAACAGGAGCAACAGGGAGCTTGAGAACCATAGAAATGGGTTACCTTTTTGTATAAAACAAAAATCAAAAATAAATTGTGCTTTCTTTCCATTGCATAATATAATATATTGTTTTAAAGAATTTAATTTTTCAAAGAATTTGTAAAGTGAGTATTAAATTAGTTGCACCTTAGCATAGATAAGTTTCTAGTCATTATTTATTTTCCTTTTTTGTGTTAAACTCACGTAAAAACATTGCAGACGCAAATATTTTATTAAGCAATTAAAGTCCACAACAATAAATATTTATTTGAAGCTGCTTTTATTTTACGGACTAACAATGCAAAATTTGTCATGTAAAATGATTTCTAAGACTTTTATATAACAACCAAAAGGAGAGTGATAGGGCAAAAGATATATACGTACATATCTCAGCATGATGAATGCTTTGAATGCCTTTGGGATGGCCATTGGCTGGATGGACATTGTGGGAGTGCTCTTCTTCGAACTGGTAATGTTCTATATGATGCGGCGTCGTCGTTTGGCAAAAGATGCCGAGGATATATCGATTGAGGCACCAAAGCAAAACCAGATGAATTCATTGCCCAGTGAGTGCAGTCAATAATGGTATATTCCAACTTTGTAACCATTATGTTCCATCGAGGCCTCTTGAACAGGAAAAATCTGAGTGAGACCGGAAACGTTTGGATATATTGGGGCTACTTGTTGATGCTGAATGTCTGGGTTGGCATTACGCTGCTCATGATAGCTGGCATCTCGTTGGTGGGTAAAACTACCCCGAGGATTCCCCATTAATTACATTTCTTTCATTTTTACATTTTAGCACAAACCAGAACTTATGACATTTTGGCTGATTTGGTGCGCTTGCGGATTGGTATTCGATGTGCTCTTCATTTTGTGGTGGGTTTACGAGCTCTTTGTGGGAGATGCCATCGAGGCGCTGACCAATATTCTCATCTCCCTGCTGACCATGGGTAAGTTTCAAATGATAAACAAAGTTATTTAGATTTGTATCATTATGATTTTGCCATTTTTAGCAATTGAGTCCGGCTTCATCTATGTTATTTATACCATCTACATAAATTTGTCCAACTCCCGGGAAGATGACGGGCACAAAGTGAAAAAAGAATCTGGACTTTCCCTGATGATGATTTCAGATTTAAATCGATAGAATTAAACGTTCTGTTATTAAAAACAAAATTATCTTTAGTTAAATTTTAAGTTGTTTTGTTTTTCTCTTTTCTTGATACTTTAAAATGTAGATAAAATTAAGTTTTGTTTCTATTAAATTACAAATTATAAATTAACGTTAACTAAACGTTAAATTAATATCTATATCTTGTAGTACAAAGTTTACTTTTAAAATTTGTTGGCTTGTCTTCTTTGTTATAATATACTTTATTTTTTACCCTTAAATTTATTTACAAGCAGTGCTAAAATAATGATAAAGGAAAACAAAGTACATGAAAATAATATCATTAAATTTGAATATTGAATTTCTTTTGAATATCGCCATACTGAGCTTACATTTTCTGTTTTTTATGCAACAGACCACAAACTCATTAAACAGCAGCTGCCCTGGGTCGTAGGTCATCCCTCATGCAGAGTCGGGCAGAAAAGCTTATTTTGCTGTGCCGCCTCTTGTTTCTCGTTTTCCTGTACTTCATCTGATTCTTTGCGGGGCTCTTGTAGTTTTTAATGGTCTGCAGCACGGAAATTGATTCATTTCCGTTTTTTGTTCTGCGCTTCCGCTTTATTCTGCTGTCCCTCCGCCGCTTAAAGTCCCAAGTCCTCAGCTGCCAGGACCAAAATCAAGTTGAAACGCTGTATTAGTCCTAATTCGGCATCTAATTCTATTTGCCGGGCTTGAAGAACAAAAGTGCGGGGATTGCGATTGTCAACTGTCACTTGCAACACGATGCCAAAGTGAAAAGCAAAATATTTCTTCTTTATTAAACATTGCTTGGAGTCCGTTTATTTTGTATATATGTATATATATTGCTTTTTTTTCTGCGGGTTTCTTTTGCCTCTATGCGCGCCAGTGGTCGTCCTCGAAGGAGCAACTGGCTGCTCAAATTTATTGTTTGCAAATTGAAATTCTTGTCGACACGCACGAGCAAATCCATTGGGAATGCACAGCATAGCGTTCTAGCGTCGCAGCATCTCAGCAGTTCGTCAGCGTCATAGTCAAAAATTTGGATTGGGGCATCACTGATGGAGGGGGCGTGGCAGTGGCTCTGGCACTGGCACTGGCATTGGCATTGGCGTTGGGACGGATTTGATGGCTTTTGTGCCCGGGCAGCAGCTCATCATGGCTTTTTAGTATTTATTAAGACTCTGATGTGCCATTCAAAATATTTCGAAAGAATCAACAAATATTTTCGAGCAACGTTGACAAACGGAAAATGGTCTTTGGTTGCCGGAAAAGCCAAACGGAAAATCGAAAAGCATTATAGCTTTTCCCATAGAAATCCAGACATACGCAGGGGTTTTTCGGAGCATGCCTCTAGGTAATCAAAAATCGTCATTTGTAAATTAACTTGGCATATCTAAAATTTAAATTTCAACATTTAGCTTAAAATTATATTACTATACATCAATAAAACATTTGCTTCAAGTTTTATAAATAAAATGTAATATGTAAAATATTCAAAATCGTAGTAGTGTAATATAGGTAAGGTTATATGTACATACCCTTAAAACTCCAATTGATATAGAGTAATTGCTTTCCAAAATTATAATATATGAAGGAAGATATTAGATTTGTTAAGTTGCAAAATTACTATATTTTTCTATTTATTGTAATAGTTACATCAATTTTGTTTATAGTCTTAAATTCAGAATTTTTCTTTTCATATATAACCAAATTTAAGAAAATGATTTGAAGTTTGGTAAGGCACTGATATTAAGAAATCTATCTGCACCAGAACTATAGTTGTAAAGCGAATATTGAAAGCGCCCTATTTCCCTAAAGATTCTGGAGAAATTTAATGCCTTAAGCAAGCATTTAGAAGATCGTATATAAGGTGTTCCAAAATAGAGGGCCATGGTGAGTTTTTCTCTCCCACAGCACTCAATAGTTATACGAGAGGGTTCTATCGGTGACTCAGGCTTTATTTTAACGTTTCTATATAAGCTACTCCCCCACTGCATAAATGGTTTAGTCAACTTCAGAAATGGGAACTGTATACATATTGGTTTTAATCTGCTGCCTTAGCTTGTTGCCCGAAGGTGATATTTAGGAAAACTTTGTTATACATTAACTTCTAAATTTATTTTCTTTAGAAAAAGCTGAGGAGGATTTTCCTGTGGGTCCGCCCATAAGTCAGAGGAGACTCCAAAAGTTTAGCTCCTTTGGCTTGGCAGGGCAGCCTGGCAGACCTGGAATGCCTGGCCGACCTGGTCGACCGGGTCAGCCAGGAACTCCTGGCGGATCAGGAGGAGGAGGTGGCAATGGAGGAGGAGGTGGCAATGGAGGAGCAGGTGGCAATGGAGGAGGAGGTGGCAATGGAGGAGCAGGTGGCAATGGAGGATCAGGTGGAAATGGCGGATCAGGTGGAAATGGAGGATCGGGTGGAAATAGAGGAGCAGACAAAATTGGTGGTGCTGGTGGAATAATAAGAGGGAATTCAAGGAATGGAAAGCGGCCAGGACCTAAAAGGTTACCCTATGATTTTAATTTATTTCTCATATGATTTAAACGATATATATTTTTTTTAAATTTTATTATTTGTAAATTGCACAGTGATTTTAAGCAATGACATTTTTAAAAAAGTATTTATTTTTTGTTGTCTGCTGGCAGCAGTTCTAGTGTACTTACCAGTGTAAAAACCAATTGCCTAAACCAATTAGCTAAACCAATTTGTCAGAGCTTTAACTCGACTTTTGTAAGTACCTAAAAAAATGTGGGATTTAATAAATAAACGTTCGCTTTACACAAACCGTAAAGAAGAATAACAAGGAACAAAATGGTGAGCCCGTCAGAAGCAGAAAAACAAGTCAGTCTTTAGAAATTTAATTATATTCAGTGATTGCAAGCTTGCCATAAATATTTCCTTTTTATTGTGTGTTCCTCCATACTAATTAGTTTTCTTGTGAAGAATACCTCCAACGCTTATGCATTCCACCTGGCACATAATGCACTGAACAATTTTAATTAAATTATATAAGAATTCTTATACTCCCGCTACTTGACTCACCTGCCGGCATAATCAATGTCGGAGCTCGACTATCCAGTACTGAATACATTTCATTTACAGAGGGTCGAGTACAAAAAAAAACACCAGAACGGCAAGTCTACGCAGGAAATTGATTGATTTCCGCAACGTGGAGGTAAAGAAAAACGGAAAAATATTGCCTTTTGTAGTTGAACTTAGGGGGAGATTTGAGTAGGGAGGGGCGGGCAATTAGTTTGTTTGGGAGGGATGTAGCTGCTGTATCATCGGCTCCACACACAACACAATATTGTGCCACACCAAACACTAACACTAAACGCACGTGTCGGCTCCTCGGTGCTTGTGTAGGTGTAAGGGTCTTGCAGGAGTTTGAACACAAGTACTTGTGGTAGCAAACATAAACATGGACAAAACATATACGAGTACCATAACGCGATGCATACACACGTGTATAGTACACACTGTCGGGATGATATGTTTTTGATGGTGGGGGGTACATTTTGGCACAGTTTTGAAGGTCCTCTGGCTCTTTGTTTGCATATCCTTGGCACTGCCAATGCACGTATGTGAGTGCAAGTTAAAAGCTAAAGCTGTGCTCGTTACATGCTCAATTAAGCTGGAAATGACGCCACTGGAAGCTTAAGTCACGCTTTATATAGTTTGGCTTTGCGAGTTGCATTTGTAGCATCGAATGCGGAATCAGTATCTATATGGCACAACAGGCGACCAAAAGGCTTAAATCATTTTTTCCAGCTATACAATTTTTTTTTTATATTTTTCGGAAAAAAACCATGCTTTTGGTAAGTTGGTGTGATTAAATGTTTGCAGAACACATACATATTTGAAATTTCTACAAATTTAGTTTAAGTTAAATTGTATAATGTTTTAAAGTTATTTGAATACTCCAAAAATGTCAAAGTCCTTACCCATTTAAAAAGAATATTTTGAAACTGATAAATATATTACTTATAATTTAAAAGTATTTGTATCGTTTGTCGCCTGTGCGAGCACTTATTGTATTCCGGCAAATGGAACTCAAAAGTTCCTTTCAAAGAGTCAATTTGTTAAACAAACCCGCTGCTGCCGTGCATGTTTATTATACAATTTAAAAAGGAGCACTGCACTTACGGTGCGAGTACACTGAGAGGTGTGGGTGTGCAGAAGCCCGCAGAACCTTTGCATTTCGCGTCCTATCGCCTTGAGCAAGTTATCGAGCACGCAGAATTGCTATGAGCGAAGGCGGCGAACACAAAAGCGGCTGCCAATTAGCGCGGGCTGGATCCTACCTAATGTGCTTAGTCATGGAAGGTCCTTTGTGGGTGGTGCACGGCGACAGCGACAGCGACAGGACACGTGCCACACTCACACGTAGATTCAGTCAGCGGATGAAGTCGATGAAAGCCGGCACCTAATAGTACGGCTTGCAACATTGTTTTCCCGTCCATATAGTGGAAAAGTTGGACCCGAAACAGGACATGACACACTCGCTCACACACTGTCGCACTTGGAATTGCAAATCAGTCGACTAATGTGTACATAATCAGTCATGTCCCAACATGTGAATTCCATTAGTGGTACACGGCCATGCAAACAAACAAGCATTAATCAGCAAAGGACGAGGGTGCGAAGGAGAGGTTCGCCCACTGGAGGGACTATATAGGACCTGGATCTCAGCCAGAATCCCAGGCAACATGGACTCCTCCTCCTGCCAGTCAGCCAGTCAGCCAGTCCATGTCCATGTCCACTCGCTGTCTATTACAGCTGGCATGCCATCCATATGCCATATTCCATGCTTATGTTATTTATGCTTATTGTCTTGGGTCACCAGGGCGGATGAAAAAATATTGTTTCCCACTCGACTTACAAATTACGGCGGCAACTGAAGCAGCAGCCACATCCGCAGCCCACCTTGATTTATTCGCACATTTCAATGCGGGCACTGAGCAAAAATCGATTAAATACAATTTTTTGTTTACATACAATTGAGGTATTTTACCAATATTTTCATTTCAGAAACTTTGAAAAGATTTTTCAACGAAACAGTTTACATATAAATTCAGTTACCTTTATGTTTGCAAAATAAATGTATAGTTTTGTACTGAAAATAATAATAATAAATAATTTGAAAGGTAAAAAAATTTCCCCAAAAATGTGTTAAATATAAATTATACAAAGGGTGAAAATTGTACTTAATGGTTGCCAAAACCCGTTCTCATTTTTTAGTATTTGTAATAATATTTTATATATTTTCTTCAATGGTTATTTTTAAAAAGTACACCAAGTAAATATATTATGAAGTATGATATGAATATTTGATATAAAATCACAAAAATAACCTGTACCAAATCTATTTCTGTCCTTACTTTTCACAGTGCAATTGGAGGCGACGTTCGCTTAATACGCCATTCATTTGGTCGCGTTATACTTCATTAAAGCAGGAACCATCAGAGGATCATGGAGAAGCGGGGTGTTGCGGTAACCAGGACGGCCTTTTCCGGCGCCTTGGCCGCAAAGTGCAGTCGGCAAAAATTATGCGGCTCGTTTGCGATGCCTGGAAATGCGACGGACGATGGCGATGGCGATGGCGAAATGGCAAATAGCAAATGCAGTGCCAACTTCAACTGGCTCTGGCCATTCGTTTATCCCTTTGTTCTCATTTATTTGCATGTCATTTGCTCCGACCGGCATCTGTGTCGCCCTCTCGCTCACTCGTCACGCATGCTCTCTCTCGCTTGCCCATTTTCTTCAGCTTTTCCTGACTTTTCCTGCTTTTCCTGCTTTTGCTGCTTTTGCTGACGGTTCTGCTGGGGTCACGTTTGTCTGCCAGGATGCCAGTTACTTATGGCTGTTATGTGCATTATCAATATGCATTGTACGGCTCCTCCTGCCGCTTTATATTTTGCCAGCGTTATTCTCCTACTTTCTAGTGGGTAACACAAATTGCTTGTGATGTTGGAAAAACGTAATAAGCGATATTGAAATTTATATTATTTGTGAATAAATGTGCGCTTTTTAAGCTACTTGAAGTAATTTTAAGTAGCATAATTTTAAAGCATGCAAAATGGGTCAATTAGGAAACAACTTATATAAGCAATACAATCTTCAATTACTTATTTCCCAAAGTTCAATTAATTTACCAATTAATCAATATTTATTCATTTATAATTGACTATTTCTTACCCTTTCTTAACTTTTATAAGAAAAAGAACTACTCAATTAAGGAAATCGCTTTTTCGCCTTTTGGGTTCAATTTGCTTATTTTTAAAATAAAGGTTTTTAAATATTAACTCCATTAAATTAGTTACGTTAACATAACTCATGCGCCGTTGGCTTCAAAGGATTCAATTATTGATTTCCATTTTGATTATGGGTTAGAGTAATTTCCGTTCGTCGTGAACTTAAACTTTTAACCGTCTTTACCCGCATTGGATATTTTGCCTCTCTGTTATGCAGTTTTAATAACGAATTGCTTTTTTATGGTTTCCGGCTTATAGAGCAGCACAGAAATTGGCAAAGAACGAAGTTGCCAAGCAGCAATAGCACCGAGGAAGATTCTTAAATCATGTCTTGTTTTTGTTGGTATTTATTTTTAAAGTTGGATTTGAGATTCTTTTTTTTTTTGTTTTTGTTTTTTTTTTTTGCCCTGCTGCCTTAGCATGGTCTTTGTTAATAATGTTGTTGTCGTTGTTGCCGTAGTGGTGCTATTATTTTTGCTTGCGCTTTGTTAACCAAGTCAAGACTGCGCCAGCTGCAGCTTCCGTTGTCGCCACAGTTGCCATTGCCGCTGCCATTTGTTCGCAGGGCGTAATTAGTGCTCATGGCATAGGGAGCACTACTCCCGACGCCCTGCTCCATCCCTCCATCCCTTCATCCAACCCTCCCAAAACTCCTGTCCCAGCGCCCGTTGTTCTTCGGGTACTGGGAAAAAACGAACCACAAAGTTGGTCATCTATTTTGGGTTTGTTATAGTTGCAACAGTGTTCACTTTGTTATTATTAAGACTGAAATGTCACTAAAAATATTTCTTTCCATTGAATATATAATTTTAAAGATTTTGGTTCATGTCTAAAAACATGCTCATGTCTTAAAATGTTGATAGATTTTAGTAAACATTTAAAAATGTTTAACATTATTTTTAAGACTTAAGTATAATTGAAAATAATTTATTTTTGCATCAATTTTTGAATTATTTATCTAAATCTCAAAAATAAAATACTATATACTAAAAAATAATTGTCTGCAAATAATAAGTTTTTTATACCCTTGCAGAGGGTATTATAATTTCAGTCAGAAGTTTGCAACGCAGTGAAGGAGACATCTCCGACCCTATAAAGTATATATATTCTTGATCAGCATCACTAGTAGAGTCGATCTAGCCATGTCCGTCTGTCCGTCTGTCCGTCCGTCTGTCAGTCTGTCCGTCTGTCCGTCTGTCCGTCTGTCCGTCCGTTTATATGCAAACTAGTCTCTCAGTTTTAAAGCTATCTGCATGAAACTTTCCCAAAAGTTGTCTTTCTATTGCAGGTAGTATATAAGTCGGAACGAGCCGGATCGGACGACTACAGCATATAGCTCCCATAGGAACAATCGGAAAAATAAATGAAAAAAAATTATAACTTTGCTGTTTTTTAATTTTTTGTTTAGTTCTTCGACATTTAGTTATGGTAAAATATTTCCGATTTACGGTTTAAATTTCATAAAAATCGGACGACTATAGCATATAGCTCCCATAGGAACAATCGGAAAAATAAATGAAAAAAAATTAT